TTTGTGTGTGTGTGTGTGTATTCATACATACACACACACGCACACACATTGTGGATTTTTTTTCTCAAACCCCTTCCCTGGGAGACGTAGCAGAATATAGACGATCTCCTTTTCCCCTGCGTGAGACGATATTTTTATTGCTTTTACCCCTGCTCGCTTTTAGTTAATTTTTGTTGTTGTTTAAGTTCTTCAACTTTGTTAATTTTTATATTAAGATTCATTTTTAGAATTGTTATTTTAGTTTATTGCTCGATTTATAGACCAACATGACGGTGTGTGTCGTTTTTTTAAATTTTGTAAACTTGTCTTTGTATTTGTATTTGTATTTTGATCATGTAAAGGATTGTATTCAGGTTTTACGTCACTGACATCGGTCTTTTAGCTTCCAAACGATGTCAATGACGCCAGAATGTTTTACTTTTCAGTTGTTTTAATGATTTATCTTTGCCCTTTTTTAAAATAATTCTTGTTTGTTTTTCTAAGTGACATATATTTTTCATATTTTAGTTATGTGTGTTTTTGAAAATGAAGGCAATGAAGGCAATGACGTCACCAAGACATCTGCATGTGCATATACGGAACCACCGAAACAAAAAAGAGAGATCTATGTGAACTTGTTTGTGCCAACCACTCTGGATTTGCTTCAGCCTGAGACGTCACCAGAACAAAGGTTGTACTGAGTAGACTTTCCGTGTGTGTGTGTGTGTGTGTGTGTGTGTGTGTGTGTGTGTGTGTGTGTGTGTATGTATGTATGTATGTTTGTATGTATGTATGTATGTATGTATGTATGTATGTATGTATGTGTGTATGTTTTCATTGTTTTTATGTGTTTTTAAACGCACTTTCTTTTCTTTTATTCGACTTGTTTTAAATGATAAGCTGAACCACAGACACTTCAGTTGATGTTTCTCCGCTCAGGGTACACGTTAAGCCGGCGCAGGATCCAGGGTCAGTGCCCGCGACCCTTTATAAAAGCCCAGGATCTGTATCACATTGTTCAGGGGAATGGGCGGGACCTTTAGCTGCGTCCCTAAGCCGTTCTCGCATCACGGGAGGCATCGGCTCGCTTCGTAAGGCTGGGGTTTAAGGCAGGCGCTTCATTACAGACCAACAACCATTCTTACAGTACACACACACACACACACACACACACACACACACATACACACACATACACACACACACACACACACACACACACACACACACACACGCGTGCTCTGGTGAATATTAGTCTATTTGTACGTTTGTCAGCCTAATTACCTCCCGCTCCCACTTTCCTGGCTTTCCTCAACTCTTTCTGCAGTCATTAGTAAACTAACGGATAGTCTAAGAGAGAGAGAGAGAGAGAGAGAGAGAGAGAGAGAGAGAGAGAGAGAGAGAGAGAGAGAGAGAGAGAGAGAGAGAGAGAGAGAGAGAGAGAGAGAGAGAGAGAGAGAGAGAGAGAGAGAGAGGGAGAGAGAGAGAGAGAGAGAGAGAGAGAGAGAGAGAGAGAGAGGAAGAGAGAGAGAGAGAGATTGAGAGAGAGAGAGAGAGAGAGAGAGAGAGAGGGAGAGAGAGAGAGAGAGAGGGAGAGAGAGAGAGAGAGAGAGAGAGAGAGAGAGAGAGAGAGAGAGAGAGAGAGAGACAGACAGACAGACAGACAGACAGACAGAGAGAGGGAGAGAGACAGAGACAGAGAGAGAGCAAAGAGTGGGCCCGGAAAAAATTACAGACACATAAAGTGAATATGTTCTCTCTTCTTCCCCCGTCTCTCTCTCTCTCTGCCTCTCTCTTTCTCTCCTTCCCTCCTTCTCTCTCATCTCCCACTCGCCCATAAAATTCCCAATCTCCCTCTGCCAGCCATGAGGTGCCAGTCAACCTCGTAATTAAGGACCAGTTCAACCATTTCTGCTTGTTCAGGAAACGACTTTTTTTTTTGAGTCCATTTTCTCGCTCGCTCGAACTAACTTCCTATCTTGGAAGGGAAGTACGTGGAAGTTAGTTAGCTCTTGGAATTGGGACGTTTCAGCGCGTGAACTTCAGGTGTAAAATTTCAGGAATCATTTCTATGGGGCTGACTGATGCTTCGTTTGTTGGTTTGTTAGCTGAAGTTAGGTTGGAATATTCTTTTGTGTCTAATGTCACTTTGAACCTGTGAAATCTTCTCCTTCTCTCTCTTTGTTTTTGTTTGTCTATATGTCTGTTTTTTTTTTTGTTTATCGATCCGTCCGTCTGTCTATCTACTTATCTATCTCTCCATTCATCTCTCTCCTTCGTTGTCTGTATATCTCTCCCCGCTCTCACTCTCTTTCTTCCTCCATCCCTTCCTGTCTCCATTTCCGGTCCATTCTCTCTTTCCTTGCCTTACTATCAGTCTATTCTCTACATCTGTCTTCCCTCGTGTTTATCTTTCTGTTTATCACACTCCTCTACTTCCTTCTTTCGCCTCTCTCTCTCTCTCTCTCTCTCTCTCTCTCTCTCTCTCTCTCTCTCTCTCTCTCTCTCTCTCTCTCTCTCTCTCTCTCTCTCTCTCTCTCTCTTTCTCCCTCTCTGTCTTTCTCTGTCCTTCTCTTTCCTTTTTAAATACAAGAGCCCCCTCCCCTTCAAAAAGAAATACACTTATTGCCAAATGCGACTTTTTGAAATTATTCTTTTGAATGTCTTACTCCACAAAAGCCTCGGCGCGCAAATTAATACATGGTCCTCTATAAATGCTGTTTTATATGCATAAGCTTGTGCACACAGCATTGCATACATTTGCTCGCTTGTGCACACGTTTCCAGTTGCACGGGATTTCGAGGGCATTTCTTTAAGATATGAAGCCTGAAGACGCATGAAAATTGGATTTTCCTAAGAAATGAGACTTGAAGATACTGAAGTTGGATTTTCTGAAGATGTAAAACTTGATGTCGCAAGACTTGAAGTTAGATTTTCTAATAACATTAAGTCGATGTTCGTGTTATTGAGACTTAAAACCGTTGCTATGTCCGCCTCCATGAAAGGGTTAGAACAAGAACAGGAAAATTTCTACACCTATATGAGATGCTTTTAAGATATTTGTCGAGCAATGGAAGGAAACTATGTTTGTTTCCCCTCACTCTCGTTGTCTTCTCTTTGTTTTTCTTCTTCTTCTGCACCTCTATCTGTCTATCTGTATCTGTCCCTATTTCTCCCTTTCTCTCTCTCTCACTCTCTTTCTCTCTCTCTCTCTCTCTCTCTCTCTCTCTCTCTCTCTCTCTCTCTCTTCTCTCTCTCTCTCTCTCTCTTTTCTCCCCCACCTCTCTCTTCTCTCTCCCTCTCCCTCATCCCCCATTTCTCTCTATTTTTAGATCTAAACCATTTTTGAAAAGTTTTATCTATCCATTTTTCACTTTCCTTCTAAATCTCTTTTCTTCTTTACAAATCCATCTTTTTACCAACTGTTGCACCCACCTTCGCCGTGTCAGAGCAATCTCGCCCTTAAGAACAAGGTAACAATGACAGCAAGGAAGATGGCACTGGCACTAGACACGTGTTGACACATGCTGGGAAGAACGTGCCAGGTCTTCGCCAATGCTGACATTTTTATCCCCATATTTAAGTCATTATGATTCTGTTCTGACTCGAAAGTATATTTTCTAGGAGTTATACAAATAAATGTTCCAGATAGAAAAAAGTTGTGTTATGTGTTACTGGACTGTTAACATGATGTCTGTTTTCTCTTGGTTCCAACATATTCAGGACAGAGGAAATGTGTCTTATTGTTTACGATAGATTTTGTCGCAAAAGCAAATTATCTCTATCTCTCTCTCTTTTCCTTCCTTTTCTTTTTCTCTCTGTCTCTGTCTCTCTCAACACATACACACATACGCACACACACACACACGCGTACACACACACATACATGCACGTACACACACACACACACACACACATACACACACACACACAGACACATACACACACACACACACACACACACATACACGCATGTACACACACACACACACACACACACACACACACACACACACACACGCACGCACACACACAAATAATAATGAAAAAAAGGGACAAATAAAACCAATCAGATTATCCCGAAAAGGTTTATTGATTGATGAACCAAACCGAGATTTCCTCAATATACTCTTTGAGGAGGTCATCCACGCACATCCACATGAGAAAAGGGTGAAATATGAAGAACAAGAAAAAAAAAGAGAGAAAAAAAAATAACAACCATAAAATAACTGCAGATTTTGTTTTCTTACAACGATGAATGAATTACATTGGTTGATCGATATGTTTATGTTAAGGTTGAATTACATCACATGGTTGGTAGTTATAGGCCTATTTAACGACAATGAATTGTGGTCTCTGCCTCGCTTGTATAAGGGAAGTATAAGGGAAGAAGGAGGGGGGGGGGGAAGAGGAAGAGGAAGGGAAAGGGGAGGAGGGAAATAGGGAATGAGGGAAGGATTGATGGAAGGGGAGAGGGAGGGAGGAAAGGAGGAGAGAAGAGGAAAGAGAACAAGAGAGAGAGAGAGAGAGAGAGAGAGAGAGAGAGAGAGAGAGAGAGAGAGAGAGAGAGAGAGAGAGAGAGAGAGAGAGAGAGAGAACGAGAGAGAGAGAAAGAGAGAGAAAGAAACAAAAAAGAAACGACAGACAGAAACGGAAAAAAATCAGAAACAGATACACAGAGAGAGAGAGAGAAAAAGAAAAATTGATAAAAAAAAATCCAAGCGCAGACAAGACACACCTATGGACATCATTTCCCACACAAGGGATCATTACACTTCAAGCAAAAGCAACAGAGAAGATTCGGAGATGAACGAAATGCAGAGACGGATGCTTAGTCACTGACATTCCGAGCTGTCTATGAGGTCATCCATATATATTTTCTTCCATCGTTTTCATAAGCGCAAGAAAAAGAAAAGAAAACAAATACTCGGGGGGAGGGGGGGTCAAATCTCCGTGAGCATTTTAGATAAAAAAAAATAAAAAACAGAATAAAATAAAACAATCTGGACGTCATTTTTATCTTTTTTTTACTCTGTACAGTCTGGAGGGGAGAGGGGTGGTCTTAGGATAAAAAATTACTTTTTGTATGCTTGTGAAAAGTATGAAAGGAAAAAAATATGGATGAACTCTAAGGAAGGAAGGAAGGAGAAACAGCTATTTCAACTCTTCTGCAATCTGTGTTTTGCTGAATGGAAGAAAGTGAAAATACATTTTGTTTACGACAGCATTATGGAGACGACAATGTAAGATTTTTAAATTCCACATTTCTTCGTTCATTTTGTATTATCATTTACTATCATTATAATAAGATTTTTTTTTTTTTTACTTTGAATGTGGCATTATCTCCATTTTTTTTCTCAAAGTATTATTAGAAGGAAAGTTCAAATTGTAGAGATTTATCACAAGTATTACTGAGGTAACATTTATATCGACATGATAATTTCCTTAACACATAACTATGCAGTTACAATATGAAGATGAAGCACGCTATATGTAATTACAAAAAGTCCATATTATAGCAGACACTATATTGTCCTTTCAGTATATGATTTACACCGATAAAGATTTTTCCATGTATACACATTTTTGATTAAGTAAAAAGAGAAAAAAAAAGTAATTTAACGTATTAACAAACCACCACAAAACTCTCTTTAGTTGAGTGTTTCTTGCATCGAACACGCTCCTTTTTCTTTAAAGAAAACGAGGGAAAGAACTCACAAGTAAGGTATGGGTAACTCAATAAAAAATATTATTTAACAAGGGGGTCATCTTTGATTCGCTTGTGCTCTGTCTGGCTCGGGTCAGCATGAGGAACGGCCGTCAGCTGGTGTTCCTGGAGGCACATCGCTGTCGGTTCCTCTGTCAGACCGAGTGATTTGGCTGCAGCGCCAGGAGAAACGACTTGACTGGATGCCACTGGGTCGCCTGAAGTCGAGTCGTCTCCCTTGGTCTTTGGTGTTTCTGCGGAGGAACGGGCTGCGTCTTTCACCTTAGGGGTCGTCGTCTCCGGAGCTTCGCCCTTTGCTTCTGGCTCCATCGAAGGTTTCCCTTTGGGCGTCATTTTCGTCTTTGATTTTTCTGCCGCTGTTATCTTAGGGATCTCGGATTCCGCGGCGACTTCTTCCTCCTCCTCCTCCTCCTCCTCCTCCTCCTCCTCTTCCTCCTCCTCCGCCGCAGACTCCGGCGTCGCGCCCTCGCTGGTCGCCTGGCCTTTGCCCCGCCGCGCTCTCGACGCCCGGTCCACCGCGTCCTTGGTCATGGCCGCGGCCGCCGACCGCTCCACTTCCTCGTCCACCTCCTCGACGGACTCCTGCGTGTTGGTGACAGCCTTGAGGCGCGCCGTGATGCGCGACAGGACGGCGTTAGAGGCGGCGAGGTTGACGGTACGCAGGAGGTGGTCCTCCGCGCGGCGCTCGTGCAGCTCGCGGAAGTGGACCACGTTGGCCATGGCGGCGGGCGTGGCCAACGACTGGCTGCGCTTCTCCCGCGCCGCCAGGTGGTCGCCCAGCCGCGAGTGCGAGGGGCTCACTAGCGACAGGCTCTTCTCGAAGAAGGTGTACATCTTCTCGGCCTTCGGGGAGATGCTGGAGGGCGAGCGCGAGCCGTCCTCGTGCTCGAGGCCGAGTTTCTTGAGGCAGCTCTCGTCGCACGTCCCGCACGACTCGCAGCGGCCGCCCAGCGCCTCGAAGCCCGCCTGCTGGTCCTTGATCTCCGGCCGGTCCACCACCAGGCGCGCGTGCTCCTGCGGGAGGAAAGAGCGACTCATAAGCATCTTCCCTTCAGGAGGAAAACGAGGGAAGGCCAACGAAAAGACACAGCTGGGATTAACAAGATGAAGAAATGAGAGAGGAAAACACTGAACCCTTGGTCTCTTAATATCCTGAACTTCCTAAGACACACGCCGGAGATTGACTCAAATCTCGAGGCAATTTAATCCCTCAGACTTAGGGGATCGATCCTATATACACATCCACCTTTCTCTTCGTACCGCCATGCACTCTTTTTGATTATACAGCGCCCTTTTTTTTGCAACGAAACCCTTCTATTCCCCTTTGCAATAAGCAAGAAATGTGATCCAATCCCAACTGAAGGATTTCTCATACTTAATAGTACTTATAACTAAGCGTTCTCAATATCCAGTGGCTCATAGAGAAATTCAAGCCTTTAATAAAAAATTCAATAAGCATTTAAGAAAAAAAGAAGATCAGCAAGCGAGTCTACGTCATGCAATCTTTGCAAACTACGGAAAGATTTGACAATATTTTTTTTTTACTGTTATCAGTATTCTATTATCAATATAGCCAATTTAACTACACTCTATAATTTTAATCATATAGCATAATACTAATGCCAATTATCCTTAGTAATACTTCTTAATGCAATAATAACATTTCTTAAGCTCTGTGCTATTCGAGAGGAATGGAAAAATCCAGCTCAGAAAACTGTTTACATTGCACAGTCCACATATCTATTCAATTTCTTCCACTACTGAATCGAATTCTAAAATCCTGTGTATGCAAGAGTTATCTGAATAGGACATGGCTTTTAATATTCATGTGCAACAGACTAAGAATTTTATTACGTGAAATAACTGCGAACTAAATTTACGTACAGGGCCGTAAAAATATAGGCGCACACGGACATAAACGCAAACACACACACTCACACATGTATACTGAGTAGAGAGATAGCTAGCTAGATAGATAGATAGGTAGATAGTTAGTTTTATAAATATACAGATAGATAAAAAGATAAATAGATAGACAGATAGATAGATGGATAGATAGATAGATAGATAGAGTGAGAAAGAGATAGCAAACATGATATCAATTTTAACAAAACAAGACCCTCGGTAATTATAACTAAGAATCCAAAGCCGTTCTAAGTGAACATCGTTCATATTACACAATTGCAGATAGATGAATATATAAGTAGATAAACGATTGAATAAATAATTAGATGATTAGATTGATGAATGCATTAAAATAAATAAGTAATACAAAATAAATCGATGAATGAATAGATAACGAATACATAGATGATAAAGAGAATAAATAAACAAAGCTAAGAATTAAAAAAAGAAAAGAAAGAAAGAAGAGAGAAAGAGAGAGAGAGACAGAGAGAGACAGAGAGAGAATGAATACACACACACACACACACACACACACACACACACACACACACACACACACACACACACACACACACACACACACACACACACACACACACACACACACACACACACACACACTTTGGGAATAAACCAAAATACTGAATAATACTGAATGATACTGAATAATGTTTTGAAAATAGACAAAAAAAATATTCTTTTCTCATATGAAAAGCTTTGGGAATCAACGTGGATAATATCTGAAAAATCTGATCGGGGAATGTAATAGGAAAACATTGAATGCTGAATTATACTGAATAAACTTTCGAAAGGAGAGTAATCTTCATCCCTTCCTCTTCCTCTTCCTCTTCCCCTCCTCTTTCTCTCCTCCTCTTCCTCCTTCTTCTTCACTCTAAAGCCTTCTGTTTTTTCTTTATCCTCTTCCTTATTCTCTTCTTTCTGCTACATCCCCTCCATCTCCTCTATTCTTTTCTTCTACCTTCTCCAATTCCTATTTATCATCATCCTTCTCCATTTCCTCATCCATCTTCCTCCTCCTCCTCTCTCTTCCTTTCTTCTTCTTCTTTTTCTTCTCCTTCTTATCGGTGTTTCTCCTCTTCTATATACTTATCCTCATTCTCCTCGTCTTATTCCTCTCCCCCTCCCTCCTCTTCCTGCTTTCCCTCCTCCTCCCCTTCTTCCTCTTCCTCCTCTTGCTCCTCCTTTCTTGCCTCCTCCTCTTCATTTTCATCTTCCTACTCGTCTTCCTCCTCCTCTCCTCCACCTCCCCTCGCCATCCCCCTCCCCCTCCCTCCCCCTCTCTTCCCCTCCCCCTCCCTCCCCCTCTCTTCCCCTCCCCCTCCCTCCCCCTCTCTTCCCCTCCCCCTCCTTCCTCTCCTCTTCCTCTTCCCCCTTTTCCTTCTCCTCTTCCTCCTCCTCCTTCTTCTCCTAATTTTCTCCCTCCTCCTCCCCTTCCCTCTTCTTCCCCTTTTCATAATCACCAGGCAAAAGCTATAATGGTTAAATTTCATGTCAATTAGTTTTATAATTAAGAGAGTTAATTAAAATCATTATTCATGGCATATTATAAGACATTTCCCGCTATATATAAAACACATATATATCAGATTCACGATAAAATAAATATGAAGGTTATTAGTAATGCCAATTTTAATGATGTTGAGAGTAATGATAACTAATGATACAAAACATTATCAGTATTCTAAGAGGTAATTTAAAATTCGAAATGATGATGATGATATCAATATTGATAATATTGATGATAGTAATGATAATTATTAAAATAATGATAATAATAATTGTAATAATAATAATGATGATGATAATGATAGTAATAATAGTAATAATAATAATGACAATAATAATATTAATGGTGTTAATGATAATAATGATAATAATGATAATAATAATGATACTGATGATAGTGACGATAATGATGATAATGATAATAATGATGATATTACTGGTGATGATAGCAATAGCAATGATAACGACTTCGGCCTCTCTCTCTCTTCCTCCCCCCTCTCCCCTCCTCTCTCTCTCTCTCTGTTTCTCTCATTCTCTCTCTTTCATTTTTTCTCCCTTCTTCCTTCGCTCACTTCTTATCTTATCACTTACTCCACTTTTTATGGCTCACTCAGATAAAACGTGTTAGTGACATGTTTGCTTAGCGGTGGCGGAGGCTTGGCAGTGAATCCCTTGGCTGTGTGTCTGGTTATCTGTGTGTGTGTGTGTGAGAGAGAGAGAGAGAGGAGAAAGGGAGAAGAGATAAGAGAAAAAGAAAGAAAGATAAAGAGAGAATAAAGAGAAAGAGAAAGAAAGAGAGAGGAAACACACACGCATACTCACACTCACAACACATGTCTCTCTCTCTTCTCTCTCTCTCTCTCTCTCTCTCTCTCTCTCTCTCTCTCTCTCTCTCTCTCTCTATACATATATATATATATATATATATATATATATATATATATATATATATATATATATATATATATATATATATATATATATAAACATATATGTGTGTGTGTGTATACATATACATATATTTATATATACATACATACTTACATACATACATATATATATATATATATATATATATATATATATATATATATATATATATATATATATATATATATATATATATAAATGTATATATTTAAATATATATGTGTGTGTGTGTATACATATACATATATTTATATATACATACATACATACATACATATATATATATATATATATATATATATATATATATATATATATATATATATATATATATATATATACATATATATATATATATATATATATATATATATATATATATATATATATATATATATATATATATATATATATATATATATATATATATGTATATGCACATTATGGCCGTTCACCCTCATTCGATGTCGGCTTGACATTACTGACTCTGCCCTGCCTGGGCGAAAGAGTTCTACCCTTTTACACAAATTGAGCATTGTGGCTTATAACTGGTAACTGCCACTCTCCGTGTTGAGCCTGCGCATGTGTGTGTATGAACAAACATGGATACACACATATGCATATATGAATATAGTAATATATGTAATATCTGTATATGTAATATATATGTATATATATGCATATATATTATATATGTGTATATATGTATGTATATGTATACATGTTTATATATATGTATATGTATACATGTTTATATATATGTATATATGTGAATATATGTATATAGGTAGATAGGTAGGTAGGAAGATAAATAGATAGATAGATAGACATATTGATATAGATAAACAGATAGATAGGTAGGTAGATAGATAGATAAGTAGGTAGATATAGATGTAGATATAGACAGATAGGTAGAAGGGAGGAGGAAAATGAGATAGAAAAAGGGCTTCCATAGACAAATTAAAATATATACAAAGAAATATGAAGAAGATTAAATCCCAAACCACATAGAAAACATAAACCACATATACAAGATTCCATATATTAGTCGCTTTCATATATTAGAATTGCCTACACGAGCATGTGGGCCTCTAAGTCGGACGTATTTTATAAGATACTTCTAAAGATAGAAAGATAAATGTGTGTAAAAAAACAGGAAGAAAATATGTTCAAGGCTGTCAGATATTTAGTCTCCTCGGGTGAAGTTATGATTAACGAAGTAATTCAGGAATCTTATCTGCTTTGCATATTTTAATCCCGGGCTTGGTAAGGCAAAGAGACAGGGAGGGAGGCACGCTGGCTTATCTATATCAAAACATCGTATAATAAGTAGTAATTATATCGTGTAATGAACGTTATTAGTGGTACCGTTACAATGAGGGTTGGTAATAATATCGTGTAATGAACGTTAATGAACGTTATCTGCGGAGAAACTTATCTTCTCTGATGAACACGAGATTACAGCAATTGATAGAGGTAATCAAGGATATTTTTCAGGACGAAAAAAGTTAATAAGGGAGAAGAAAGATAAGGGAAACGAATAAGGAAGAAATATACATGTATAAACATGCCAAAAACACATAATTAAAGACTGTATTGGTACAGAAAAGAAGGAGATAAATAATGTTTATAAAATCACACACACACACACA